GTGAATGTGTTGTATAAATTTCCTTCTTTGGAATTGATTGTATCTTATTTTATTTATTTTGAAAATTATGAATTGTAGGTCCTTTCCATTCATGTTATTTATGTTGGGAGTATAATTTTGGTTATTTGACCCTTTTTTGCATAAGTTAGGAACCTAAGAATTATCTATATATTGTGTTATTGAGTAATCATGTAACTCGAACATAATAGTATTATCCTTGTATTATTTTTGTTTGGAATATTAAAATGTATTAATTCGCACTTGGAATATTATAATGCACTAGTTTGTGTTTGGAATTTCAAATTGTGTTGTGTTTATATTTGAAATTTCAATGCTTGGATGTTTCTCTTAATTACTAATTTATGCATACTAAATAAGAGGAAAATTGAGTAACTAGATTATCCTAAGTATATTCTTCAATAAATTGAATAGTTGAGTTGGATCAGTTATGGATGTGTTTATGGTTGGAATATGAATACAAAATGTTTGCAGGATAAATTGTTGATAATTTTGGACCTCTAGGTATAGAGAAGACTTTGCCAAATTTTCATTAGAAATTTTGGTGAACTTAATGTCAAAGAAAAAAATTCATGCTCCATTTGCACTTTACATGGAATTAAAGAGATAAATTGATTTAACCAATTAAGTTGTTATACCCTTAACTCGAGCCTTAACTTAATTATAGGGTTTGTTAACCCACTTTCCATAATCATGACTTTTATCTTAAGAAGAACGCATTCATCAATTCCATTTAATAATCAATACTTATGCTTTAATTCCCCTTTTTACTTATATAGTCATTAACCCACTTTTAATTCACACATCTATTTCCCTAAAGAGTGGCCAACTTTGTTTTACATAATTTTCCCTTGCCAGTACAATCGACTTTAAGTTAACAAAATCAATCTCTGCCAATGCTACCAACATTAAATTATTCAAATTAGCCCTTGCTTTTACAACTAACTTAATTAATGGTTAGTACTTAAAAGTGTATTTTTATCAAGATTTTATATCATCATTTTGCATTTGAAGTATTAATAACTCCTTAACTAAAGCATGTTTTATAATAAGAAGTCTGATATCATAAGATACCATTAATTTATATTAAATGTTCATCCTAAATGTAGGCCTATCACATACATAAAATGATTGATTGATGAGTTGAAGTATTGAAATTGAAAGGATAAAGAGAGGGTCAAACTTAAAACAGAGATGTTGGTATAGTCCAAATTAGAACACTATTCGGTAATTGGGTCATATCTGAAATTGTAGATCTCATATTTAGGTCTGTTTTATATGGATGAAAAACTAATACATAGGCCAAAAACTTTCATGGCAAGTTAAGAATCAATTCTGCTATTTGGAAGTCTAAACCTTAGCAACAACATAGAAGTTTGAACCTATCTTGTAGCCCAGAGATTGTTAAGTGTTCAACACATATCTCGAGTATTAGAAGTCCAAATGACTTTAATCTTTTTTCCTGGAAAGCTGAGATAATTTTCTAGAATATTATCTAGAAAACTAGTTCAAATTCTGACGTTATCAATGACGTTTTATTCAGACAAGAAGATAAGAATTGTCACCAAGTCAAGATGTGGCCACCCACTCATCAATTAGTTATCAAATCAATAGTTTCCAATTTTGGCCTATAAAAAGAGGTATTTTCCATGCATTTAAGCATATTGATTTCCAGATCAAGATCATGCTCTTTCTTTCTCTCTTTGTATTTTTTTAATATTTAGGTTTTGCTTTCATTAATATCTTGTTTATGCCTTTCATTTCCTTTCCTTTACTTAGTTAACTTTTATCTTATTTATGTTCTTATCTTATTTATTTATGTTTCTCTCTTTTATTATATTTAGCTAAGTTTATTATTTCAAGGTGAAAAGGTTACACTAATGGTATAAGAATAAGTATAATGTAAACTTAACATGGACTTTAATGTTTGATACTAACATGTTTTATATTTGTTATCTTGTTCACTCTTTAATACT